CGCGCAATGGGCGGTGCTATGGCCGCCCCAGCGCGGTACTTCGAGGCAAACATCCAGTCTGTCAGGGAGGGGTGGAGGCCCGACAAGACTACTGGCGAAATGACGATGCGGGAACTCCTCGAGGCCGAGGCTCGGACTGGCATCCACAAGGCGGGCGGCGTTCTGAAGGACCCAAGCGCCGCATGCGGGCTGCTTTGGCTACGCCGGACCATTGCATTTCACTCTACTCTCTTTGGTGATGTTGCAGCGAGCGATCCTAACGACACGCTCAGCCCACGAAATGCAGCGCTGCATGCGTACGCTGTGGAGCTAGAGCCGTTCCACGGCTCGCTTCTTCGTCGCGTGTATCGGTTTGGCTTACCGCGTGGGATGCTGCCCAGGGCCGCATTCCTCGCACGGCTGCGTTCCACGACCGCTCCGTGCGAGGACGAGACGCTGCTCCAAGGCATGCGCGACCTCGTTGCGGAGTGGAGGCCTCTCTTGGAGGAGTGGCGCCGGCTGTTTGTCGAGCTTGATCTGGAGGACCCCCGAAAAGTGTAGACTTTGTACTGTGACATGTGTAGACGTTAGAGGGCGCGGCATGCTCTGCTCACGCGAGAGCCTACAGGTCCCACGCGAGAGCCTACTCCTCCCCCCCCCCCCCCACACACACACACACACGACTCTCTGTCCCCGCGGCGCGCGCGGCTACTTCAAACATGCGCGCCGTTGGGGGCGTGTGTATATCGCGCCAGTGAAAAGATCCCCCTGGTCTGGACGGTTTTTTTCGCGGTATCCGCGGCGCGCCGGCGGGATATGGCGGGATATGGCGGGATATGGCGGGATACCGGGAGATACCAGGAGATACCCGTGGATATGATGTGAGATACGGAGCCCCCACACGATGTGTTCACGACAACGTCCGTGAAAGCGTGAACCGCAAATCGGACGCGACGGAAGCGGTGAGGGCGGCCGGCGCCCAGCGGGAAGCCGCCCCCTGGATGGATGTTCGTCCATCGTCGTGCTCGTGGCGAGACGACTGTGTCTTAGACTCTTAGACCCTTTTTTCCCGCGGCGGCCGCCACGCGCCAGCAGCCCTGGCAGCTGGCCGGAGCGAGGAAAATGGCGGGACGTATATGCGGCGGGATATGGCGCGGGATACGGTCAGATATGGAGAGATACATCAAGATGCCGCAAAAAAACCGTCCAGACCAGGGCTAAAGATCCTGAAAAGGGTGCGCGTGCGTGCGCCTCCTCGCCCGAACCCGAGCCAGCGCTCGCCCACGCCGCCGCTGCTCACCAGTCGGCGGACATCTGGGCGCGGACGGCGTGGAGCGCGACGAGGCCGGCGTAGCAGCCGATGAGCAGCTTGCCTTGCGCGCGGCCGAGGCGCGCGTGGCCGCGGCTGCACCAACTCGGGGCGGTGGGGGCGATGAGGACGGCGAGGTAGGCGAGCACCGCTGCGTACCTGCGGCGGCGCTGCGTGTGGCGTCGGGGTGTTGCTTCGGGAGGGGCGGTGGGTGGGAGGGGCGGTGGGCGCGCGCATGAGCCAGATAGCGTCGATGAGCTCGGAACGGCCTTTGATGGCGACCTCACGGCCAGCGCTGCTGGAGAGGAGCCACGGCAGGCCGAGCCCGACGAGGACGTTGATGACTTGCGAGCCGACGGCGCTGGCCACCGCCATCGAGCCGAGCCCGCGCCGCGCCACCGCGACCGCTTGCAGCGTGTCGGGAACCTGCGCCCCGACCGCGATGACGTAGACACCCATCACCGAGGGAGGCAGATTTAGGAGCGTGC